CAGAGCGCTGAGCCAGCCTACCACTGCCAGGGCGCTCTGCTTGTGGTTAGCAGGCATAGGTAGGGCATGAAAAATGAGAAGGGGAAGTGCCCGGGTGCACTGCAGGGTAGCAAACACCAAACCACGAGGGGCTCATCCTCATCAGTCCAGGCTGCGGAGTCCAGGTCAGCGACGCCCAGGAGAAATACCTGCACTGCTCCAGGCTGCTCCTCCGGATGGCTGCATGAAGGCTCCTTGCCTTTTCCTCCTTCAATCCGCTAAAACAAATTACTGAGGGCTTTTTAGCCAGGGCTTTGCCCACCCCACACCGCGTGGTGCCAGGTGGATGTACCCCCATGGGAAGCAATGCTCGTGCTGAGATTTCAGCCTGCGCTTCGCTCCCCTGAAAGTGCCGGATCAGCACCTTCAATCACGCGTCCTCGTGGGCCAGGGATTTGCATTCTTCTGCATCTGTGAATTTCCCAGAGCATTTAATTTGTCATCCTGCCGGTGTTAAAGGAGGGCAACGCCGTGCTTGTTTCTCTTGCACCCGCTGCACTGCAGAAAACAACAAAGCAGGTTTCTCGACAGCAAGGTGAAGGGCAGTGGTATCCCTTTTCGCCCTCTGATAATTTATCTGCAGAGTACCACCACCAGGCTTGAATGAGAAAAATGGAAAAAGACTCAAAGGGAGAAGAAGAAAATGTTGGAGAAAGGGATATTTTACTCGCAGCAACAGGAAAAAAAATATCCATCACAGATCACATGAAAAGAACATTTATATTAAATGTGATCTCAGAAGAACTGACAAGGATAAATCCGTGTGCAGTTCCTTGTATTTCAGCCTAAATATGGAAAACACACATTACGCTGAGTTCACAGAGGGCTTGGTTTTATCAGCACTATTTATACACACGTTCCTGGTTCATTTTAGACGTGGTTTATACCGTACACAAGCTATAAAAATGAAATGCATGGCAGTGCAGTTACGTACCAAAGAAACAAGATTAAACCAACAGACCTGAGCACTACCTGATTTTAAAAGACAACAGATCCTTATTTATTTATTTTTTTTACACATTTTTCTAAATTATGTATGGGCCGTGTATCCCTCCAGACAAACGAACACTGATAAATGATGTTCTGTCTCTAGCCAGGCACTTCAAGCAATCTCCACCCTCCCACCTCCCCGTCGCATGAAATAAAGATGAAGCCCGGCGGAGCGTCAATCACGCCCCGGCTCCATCCAGCACCTGCCTCTACCTGAACCAACACAACAGATGTGTCAAGATTTCCATCAGGCTCCGCTATCAGCTGTCCAAATTTCTGCTGCGAGGGACTCCGGCGCTGCCAGAGAGGTTGCTGCCTACCACATGCCCCACACACACGTTTAGCGTGACGCCAGCCTGCATCCATCTCTTCCCGCGGGTTTCCCCTGGTGGAGCTGCTCTCCTTCCAGATAACTTTTATCTTTCTGCCTGGACGAGTGATTTGGGCTGTGTCTGTGTGCTGAGGCACGTTTAACAGGCAGCACAGCGCGCTCCACGACCCGGCTGCTCCCCAGCCACGCGCCTGCAGGAGCGCTGCCCGCCGCAGCACGAAGCCCGCTGCATGTGCCTGAGCACACACATCCCATTTCTGACCTTGCTTCATTACCCTTTCCCCAGCGAGCTCACCCAGAGTTAATTTAATGTGTTTAAGGACTGACGACCAGCCTCAGCTCCCCGCAGTGCTGCCAAACGTGTTGCAAGCAGAGAGTTTGGCTTTATTCCACCTATGGGGTTTCTGCCTGAGCCCACTTACCTTACCCAGCACTCAAAGTACGCAGTCAGATATCACAGCAAGACACAGGGGTTGTTCTTCCCTATATTCACACCCTAGAGTTGCTTATTGCTTTGGCACACGTCGTCTGTCTGCAAAGGTTAGTACCAATGTGCCAAAAGTCCTAGTTAGTTTACTACAGGATGATTAGGATGTAGAATCACAAAATCAGGGAATATCCCAAGCTGGAAGGATCATCGAGTCCAGCTCCTGGCTCCGCACAGGACCACCCAAAAATCAAACCGTATTTCTGACAGCACTGAATTGAACTCCAATTTAGGATATCAGGGCCCTGATAAAAACTGAAGGATTAAAAAAAGAGGGACTGGGGAAGTACTGAAGAGTAACAGAAGGAAAGGCAGCAATTTAAATAAGTATGAGGGTGCCTACAGATGGAGAGTTAAGGTCACATGAAAATTGAGAAACCCAGCGAAAAAAGATCGATGACAAAACTAGGAGTGGCCTACAAACCTCCCACGTGTAATTACAGCACCCTAGGTCCACTTAAATGCACTTGGGTTCAAGTTCATTCATTCCCCTTCCTTTGTTTTAAAAAAAAGCCAACCACAGGCACCACAAATGAAACGCCACCGATCAAAAGCAACCAAGGCTGCGTTTTTAGGGTTAACTCCGCCCCTCTCCTCTTCCTCTCGGGCTTCCAGCTTCCCATCTCAGGGCTGTCAGCAGTTGTCAGCACATCATACGAGCACACGATATCACTTGAGAGGCAATACATCAGAATACCTAGATGTGACAGCAGCGAGTTCCGCCAGATGGTCTTGGGTCACATCCACTGATTAAAAAAAAATAAAATAAAATAAAAAAGGAGAAAAACATACACAGAAGAAAACAACGCCCTCCCCAACAGAACTTCTGAAGCAAAAAAAAGAAATTTGGTGCATGTACCATTTCCCCTTTTGTCCTATCCACGCCGGCAGAAGAGATGCACAAGAGCTCCACCTCTTGTCCTCACCAGCTTCTCCTGTCACCGACACCAACCCGAGTATTTCATCCTCCTTCCCTAAGGAGAAGGCATCTAAATAAAGCTGTCACCCCATGAAAAGGCAGAATGTACCAGTAACAATGGTGCCTTCTACCTGAGAAATCTCTTAGCGTTTTGGGCACCAGGTCCTGCTCCAGCATCCTCACTGTCTCTACCTACCCCAAACCCAAGCTCTTCATCCTGGATCACTTCCAACCCCACCATCTCCCACCCTACCCAGCTCCTGGTTGCTCTAGCAGGAAGCTCAGACTCTTCCAACTCATGGAGCCTACAAACCCAAAAATCAGTTTCCAACAAGAAACTGGACTGATCATTCAACAAAGGATAACATTCGGGTAACACGTTTTTAATGGGATGCCCTTTGGCACCCAGAAGTTCTTGCACAAACCCTAAAGATTTTTCAAAACATCAAATTTCCACGGACAGCAAACACCACCAACCTGCTCTTCTAATTGTTTTCAACAGAAATACTGCAAAGCTGTAGGCATAAGGATAATACCTATTTAATAGAACTGGTAAAATGTCACCTTCTATTTTGATTTTTTAATTATCGCATTAGCAAAACAAAAATACTGCAAATCAAAGTCCAACAATCAGCTGTTTATTTATTTATAGCCATATCTGTAGCGCTCATCACCATGGTAACCAGGAACCCTTTTTTTTCCCTTCCTTGTTCAGAAGAAAAGTTGTAATTTGGAAATGTGATCCTCTGATGGCACAGAACCGAGGCCCTATGCTATGGACACTTAGGCAGGTGCTTAAAGTACACGGCCAGACCTAAGTCAAAGGCAGGGGGGTAGAGGAACAGAGATACAAAAAAAGGAAAAAAGGAAAGGAATGAGAAGCCAGTTAAAGATGGAAAGAGTAAAAGGCTTGCCTATGAAAATTCACAGGATACCTAGTCCTACAGCAAGTCGTGACCTCCCCGGTGCTTTTTCCTGCAATAACACGTGACTGGTTCATGGAGCACAGTTCAATTAATCAAAAGCGATCAGCAAGTTCCCAATTTATGCCGAAGACACTGGTGAATACTCTCGAGCAATGATTTCTAAGAGGAGAGCAGCTTACAAATGAGGCTGCAGAGGGCTGCTGCTCTTTTGAGAGCGGAGAAGTCAGGAGCCTCACTTTGCTGCTCACTTCTAATTCCTCAGCAATTAGCCATTATCAAATTCCTCCAGAATTAATAGAGCCTTTCAAATGCCATCTGCTTACAAAATATCAAAGAAATGAGTAAATTAGAATATTGCTATTCCATACACCATTATAAAATGAGTTACTAGATACATCATGCAATTGCAGTTTCTCCCTGATACTCCTGGTGTGCACAAGCACACAACTACTCTTCAGACCCTCAGAAATGATTGAAATTGTCTTTATATTATTTGTCTGGTTGCTTCCCAGCACCTTATGAAAATATTAGAGATTATGCACACACACACACACACAGAGTAGTATTTCAGATCCTTTGAAAGCTAATAAACTTCTAATGGGAATTATACAAAAAATAAAAAAGAAGAGATTTTTAACCTGTTGTCATTTTGTTATATAAGAGAAATTGTCATCAAGATTTCCCCAAGACACAGGTATCAGAAGAACTGCCTTCAGTTCTGCATGTAGTTTGGTCCTGTCTCTTTGTAAACTGACACTGTCCAAGGCAGTAAAATAAGGAGCGTTTGGCTGCTCCTAACCAAACACATAAATCTTTCCGCAAGACTGGTGGTTATTTTATAGTCTTTTAAGCCATTTTCTATATGGGGCAGAAGCCGAGTGTATGACAGGAGGAAAAGTGACAAGTCCCTCCTCTGGGAAAGCACCAGCAGGCATTGTTACCAGAGCAGACCAGCTCTTTTAGAGTGGCCCGATGAAGCTATTTTTAAGAACACCTCATAACATCACAGAGGAGAATCTGATCTCCGCAAAGGTGAGCTGTGCGGCTCAGTACCCCTGGGAGGCAGCTAATGAAACCGAAGCTCGTCAGACACAGGCTGCCTCCAGTAATTGGCTTTGAAAACCTGCAGCTTAAATTCCGCCACGCTGAGCTCAGTGCCCAGCTCGCAGCTAGCTCCAGAGCCCAGGGCTGCGTAGCAGGACCGAGTGTGAGCAGCTGCCCTCCTCCTCCTGCTGCACAGCCAGGCCCAGCCTTCACGTTTGGAGGGCAGAGAAAGAAACCTGCTTTCTTCTAGCACCTTGCACCTACCAGTTCTCTGCCAGGACGGGAGAGGCAGCTGCAGGGCAGTGTTGGAGCCGGTGGTGCGCTGACACAGGAGGGAGCACGTCCTGCCACAACCAGCGAAGGTCTAAAAGGAGAAAGAGGAGAGTCCCATGTCACACATTCACCTAACAAAGCTAGCCCTAGCATGCAAAGTCCCTGATGCACACCCGCTGGCTTCCTCCTGGAGGTGGCTAGCAAAACAGGGGGAGCATCACCCATTTCCACCAAAATCTTTCCTAGCCCCAAAATCTTTCCTATGGACCCACCAACCCATTCTGCTCACCACCCTGAACCACAACTCTGCTGTGATGCCAGATGACAACCCAAGAAATGAATGTCCCACGTGGGGGGAGGCAAAATTTTGTCTGTGCAGCCCGGAACCTGTGACCGGGTGTGAGCTGCTCTCCTCTCCGGCACCTTCTTTTCACGATTCCTCCTGCCTCCCACTGCTTCCTAGAAAAAGCTGCTGCTTCGCGGCCCAGATAGGCTTTGGTTGGAGAAGATGTTTAAAAAAAAAAGAGCAGGTCTTCTGCTGAGAGAAGCCGTCTGTGGCTCTGTTTATGTGAATTAAATCATCACAGAATTGGAGGGGTTGGAAGGGACCTCCAGACATCATCAGGTCCAACCCCCCCGAAATGATAGATTTGCTCGTGGAGGATCTCTAATGCATGTTTTAAAACCCCTCGTGAAGACCTGTTTTAAAACACCTCTCGGAGTCCTCGCTCTTTTAGCACAGGTCAGCTCTAAATTAAACCCTGCTAAAAACTTTGAGGAACTGGAATTGCACCACGGGGGCTGCGGGCACAGGGAAGCGCTTAAACCAACAGCACTTGGGAAAAAAAAAAAAATAAAAAAGACTTTATAGCAATGGGAACGACAATGCCAATGTGTCATGGTAATGAATGAGGGGACGGAGGCGGATCCCACAGCACCCACCGGGGCCAAATTGAGAGGCACCGACGAGCTCCCAAACCCAAGCCGGGCACCCGGGGTGTGTTCCCCTGGCTTCCCGGGACCCCTCACCCAGCAGCCCGAGGTTTCTCCCTCTCGAGGCTCCACGTCTGACCCAGCCCTGCCCGGATCCCCCCCTTCGTGCCGTGCCGTGCCCTGCTCACCTGTTTTTTGGGGCTGCCACCGAGCCGAGCCGAGCCGAGCCGAGCCGCCCCGACCGCCCCCTCCGGCGGTGGCGGTGGCCCTGGAGATGGCGGCGCATGCCCGCGGCCCGAAGGGCGTTGTGGGGCTTGTAGTGCGCCGCCGCCTCACAGGGCAGGCCCCGCTGCACCTTCCTCGTGTGTTTTATTGTGTGTTTTTTTCTTCTTTTGGCAGCTTTCTGGGGTTTGTGTGGCGCTGCGGGGCTGTTGTGGGTGTTCCTTTCCACAGCAGGTGCCCCCCCCTCCTCTGCGTTTCTCGGCTCTTCTCCGTGCTAAAGCACAGGGCTGCCCTCTTTACTAAGCATAGCCAGCTTCAAATCCCCCAAAAACCTGATCAGTAACAGGTATCTTTACTACAGCAGGGTTCCTTTCCACCGTGGAAAGTGACAGCAGGTCCCACGGCGAGTTTCAGTGAGGTCAGGACTCGCCACTGCAATTCGGAGCTTGCCACAGCTTGAGCAACCAGCTGGGAGCACGCAGAGACCAGACTCAGCCGAGCACACATATATTTATGCATTCAGCACCTGTACAAGACCCTGCTCCTCTCAAAGCCAGAGGGACTTTTCTCTTTCTCCACACCGAGGCTTTTTATTTGTCATGGGAGCTTCGCGTTTCCACCCCCCCACACCGTCCTCTAAGTGGAAGAGAAGGGCAATGAATGCCTTGGTAGCATCCCTCACGTTAGCGAGCGTTTGTGTGCATAATTAAATCCTCCCAGAGTGGCTGGACTGCTAACCGTGCTCAGGAAATAAGGTAAAACTCAGCCGTCAAAATGTTTGCCCCTGAAAAGCAGAGAGTCATTTGGGGAAAATCAAATTTAATAGCTCAGCACTCCTTCTGCCGGTCTCCTTTCCTGTCTTGCAAATTTTTGTAGCTAACGATCCGAATAACTACCTGGTGTTATAGGAGAGATACGTGAGAACGAAGGGTTTTCAGAAATGCTCATTGCTGCACTAAATATGACTTCATTAAAGTCTATATGAATTTTAGCGTTGACCTCCCATGGACTGATAAGGCAAGCATCAGGCTTTTGAGATTCATTTTCCCGAATTCGTTCAGGAACTATTACGCTAATGAAATCTATTGCAAGAGATCCCATCTACTGAGTTTCTCATTAGCTTCGTGAGTTATACTCCAGTCTTGAAGGGACTTCAGAGTGCTAGATCTACATCCTTACAACTAAGCAATGGTGCAAAGGAATAATAATCATCATAATCATTTTCATTAACATTTGCTGGAATAAAACCTAACTATTTATTTCAACAATGTTTACAGTTCTCTATTAATTTCCCCAAAGCATTGTGAGTAGGAGACTCATCTGGAAAATAAGATTTCACAAATACCTGTTTGCATATTCACGGAAATGTCATCTGCAGTGCTACTTCTCGTCCTCGTTATGGAGTATTTAATGAACCAGTCAAAAAGCCAGACATTGCAGTAATTTGAATTAAGTGGCCAGTCACGTACTACAGACAATGAATGGCCAAGTTACAGACATAATCATTCAAAAATAAAAATAAAAAATCCAACCAGAGGCTGAAACATGTTTGTGTGAAATATTCATAGGATTGTAGTGATTTACTGCCATGTCTGTTTTGGAATAATTTGCAGTAGGAAAAGAGTATAATCTGATAAACTTTTCATGCAAAATAGTTTGTTGGTTATTCCTGGAATATCAAGCTTGTAGACTGATCTGATACGATGTTTAAGCCTGTCACCTGTAAGGGGGAGGGAAGTGTTTTCCCAAACGTAAGGTTTTACAGGGGATACCTAGTGAAAGCAGCATGAGTATGCTGGTAGAGGAGACAGTCACATAGGTGCCTGGTGCCAGTTTAGGCAACTCTGGTTGCCTGAGATGTGTGTGCCAGGCTGGTAGATGTGGCATGGACCTGCAGGACATTGTCACTCATTGTAATGACAGCCAGAGGCCTGGCTTGAGGTCGAGAGCCAGCACAGTACCACTACACAGCCCAAATCACCCCAAAAGCACTGCTCAAGGAATGAAGCAGCCTTCAGAGACATGGGCAGAGGATGGATCCACAACTAGGAGCTAGAATCGTTGAGTTGCCTTTTACAGCCCAATAGACCGAGCAGTAGCTCCAACCTAAAGCAAACTTTGACATGTTCCCATTTCATTCTTCACCTTTTGTGCTCCCTTTGTACGTGTAACCTCTTCTAATGAGAAAATAATAGAAGGCCTGATCCCAGAAGTTGCCCCCATCCAGCAGAGCCACTGATGTGATTTTTTTGTTGTTGAAAGCCGTAAGTGCCCTCTGCTTGCTTCCTGAGGTGCAGCCCATTATCTGGACAGAGCTGACCTGTGCTGGGAACGGGGCCCGGTGCCTGGATGTGGAGAACAGACATATCAGCGGCTCGAAGATTCAGATGGACGGCTGCCAGATGGTGGAGAGGAAGGGAAGGCTGCTTTTAGTTATTTTTACAGAGCCGTTGCGTGTTGAGGTTTCAGAGAGAACCCAGCCAGGCTGCATGCCATCCCTGCAGACCCTTGCTGCAAGGAGGCAGCGCTGCAGTGCTCTGGCTGAGGAGACAGCCCTGCTGCCCCAGCTGCTTGCAGTCCCCTGTGGCAGAAGGACCACGCTGCAAAGCAGCCTCAGCTACCTGCAACAGCATGGAGAGGGATTCAGTGAGCTGTAAATTCCTCTTGGAGGAGGAAAAAATTATATTCATTCACATTTTCTCTCTGGAAAAGTTCATGCAGGTCCAACTCGCTGCTAGTTTTCACCATTTCTGTGTGTGCTGCTCAAACATTCGGTGGGCACTTGTGCTGTTAACCCTTATAAACCAAGACAGAGAGCACCATTCACACAAGTTGTTGCCAAGCCACCCAGATTTTTTAAATGTCAGCTTTGCAAATTATTAGCTGGGGGGACTCACGTGAAGCCAAGGGATGCGGCAGCTTGTGTGCAGGGTAGTCACAGCTCAGCAGAGCCAGCCAGTAGGTAAAACTCAAACAATTTTGGATCAGCACCAATGATTCAAGTCTTGTAAGAGGTATTAAGCGACATCCATGGACTGTGCTGCTGCCTGATCATCCTGCCAAAGAGCACTGTTTCAGCCAAAAACGTCAACGAAAGCATTTGGGACTAAAGGATCCGCACATTTGCTCGGCATCCTCAAAATGCAGACAGAAGAGAGAGCAGAACTAAGGATTTTGAAAGCGCTACATGCCTCAAACCTCTCTTGCAAATTCATGTAATTCACTAAAGAAATGATACATATTAATATCATTCTGCCTCAGGTATATGAATCTGTTTGGATGGGCTAGATGCTTTGTTCCCTCCAAAGAGCAAGACTCATTAAACTGTCTCTCATTTGGCAAATCCAAGCAGCGACTCCACTCTCTGGAGTCCCTGACAGGCAGTAATAGTTGTAGCGTGATGAGTGCCTACCCTCGGTATCAATTTTCACGTGCTGATACCAAGCACATGCAAGAGGGGAAAGAAAAATGAAATAAATCTGCTGTGGCTGCTGAGCGTGAGGCACTGAAGTGGCTGGTGGGCATGCTGGGGAAGGCACTGGCTGCCCCAAAATAGAGGGTCAGTTAAGGTTATCCAGTAATTTAGTTAGAGAATAGAAAGAAGAGCTACCAGGCTTGTTTTCTGCCCCGAGTGATCAGGTCCCACTGACCAGAGAAGTGAGCAGCATGCGGCATCTGCACTGCTGAAGGGAGAGAAGCTCTTCCCTAGCTCATCATGGAGTGGCGACAACTTCTGATTATTTTTGGACTTCTCATCTTTTTTAGAGGGGATAGAGAACAGTTAAATAAGCAAACACTTTATTTATTTAGCTATTCATTGAGAAACTTGAGAAATAAGGGATTTTCCCTGTTAACGGGGTTGTATTTGGACTTTACATAGGTGGTGCTCTTAAAGAAAGGAAAAGGCTTTTACTGACTTAATGCCGTGACACAGAGAAGCAATAGGTAGTTACCAGTGACAATGAATAAAAAAGACAGGAAAATGGAGAAATTCAGTGACAGTCAGCATCGATGAATGTGCCAAAAGCTTGTGAAAGCTCCCTTTGTATGATAAAGTGACTGTCACATGAAATATTAGCAACTATCCAGAACTGGGAAAGTGTGAAAATCTTGTTGCTGTATAAATTATCTGAGACACTCATGCCAATTATAGACTTGCTGTGAGGAAGAGAGACATTGGTAATCATGACAGCGACTGTGTTTGAGTGCCATGTGAATATTCCCAGGCAATTATTCAAATCAATCACTTCTTGTCTGGGTAGGAAGGATTCATCACTATTAGCACCTCGCGTCACGCAGCGACTGAACGGGTGATGCCTCGCTATTTCGGGTGCTCTGAAATCTGCCCGTTTGAGATGACAACACCGGGATGTGGAGCACTGAGGTGGGGACAGGCGCCCACGGGGCTGTGCACCCCACAAAGGTTGCTCTGGGGTAGGAGACATTGCTGTAAATGTGCGATGCACGTGGTTTATTCGCCAGGCTGTCACGAGCCAGGCTGACTGCTTGGATGTGGACCTTTGGTCTGGGCTGATACAGCCAGGCTGACCTCCTTTTATATGTATCAGGAGGTATAATTCAGCCATGCACGTGGGTTGTAACGCATCCCATCCGTTCCTGCTCCCACTTCCCGCAGGCTGCTCACACACAAAGTCTGATTCCAGTTTATACACAAAGCCTGGTTCCAGTTTATACACACAAGGGAGTCACTCAGAGCTGCCAATGCGTCCCTGCCAAACTTTAAGCACCTGATTTTGCATATTAAACGAAAAACTGCTTACATGTCACTGCTGAAAGTGCCAAGGTGAGGTATCAGCTGGCCTTCAGGACCTCTCGCTGCTGTTAGAGAGATGAAACTATCACCACACGCAAGTGGTAACTTGCAATGGCATTTGTTCTTCAATAAATTAATGAAACAAAGCCTTCACCAAGGGGTAGTTTCCTTTATTTCTGCATGGAAGTGTTTGTACCAAAACAAAGAAGTGGTTAACTCTTCAGGCTGGTGATAGCAAATAAAGATAGGGCTCACCTCTGCTTTCACACGCTCGGTCTCTTGTTCCTAAGAGCTCCTTGTCTTTATTCATGAGCTCTTCAGGGACAGGATTTTTAGCAGTGCCAACTTGT